AATTTTCGATAAATTCTAATTTTTTTTAATGTTAATAGTGATTTAAATTAAAATACCAATAACTACACCCGATAAAATAATTATTTTTTATAGCTTTTTTGTATAGATTTGAAGTTAATAGGTCAAATTTATGGGGTATGTCAACTAATAATATGTACTTATAAAATATATATTTTACTTAAACTCAAATTAATGAATGTAATCCAACTTATACTATACTATACTGATCAACAATATTGAATTTCTCATGCATACACACGTATATACAAAGTGAATGTATATATATATATACGTAAAGCTGTAGTTATATTTATTTCTATATTTTTGTGTATTGAATTTGAACAGGAAAATGGTACTTTTTTTTTCATATACATATATATATATTCAGTTTCTATAAGATGTTAATTAATGGCCATTAAAAGTTGTAGGGAGTTAAATTCCCCAAAAATTAATTTAATTAATTCCTTAAGAAAAGGGGTTAAGTAATTAATTAAGGAGAATAATCCCTCTAATTTCCTACTCTAATTACTATAAATTATTCCTTAATCTTGAAATTTTTTTCTAAGTTAAATCTTCTTCCATCCCTATTTGGAAAAAAAGGAATTAAACAAGACTCCGAAAAAAAATCAATGATGTCGAGCAAAGCTCACCGAGCGATCATCCTGCTTCTCGTTGCGGCAACATTGTGTAACAGCAGCCTGTTGTCCTTGCCATCAGAAAAGAGTTTCAAGCTGCCGCCAAAGGGCTTCACGGTGTCGCTTCCAGAGCGCCAGCCGCGGATTAGGCGTGGGAGGTTCTTGGAGTGCTACTTGCCTTTGGTTGGCGTTAGCGGTTGTGTGCGGTCTGTTTTCTTTTCCCCGCAATCCAGCCATCCTAGCCCTCTTTGCTGCAAAGCGTTGGAAGAAGTCGATAAAAACTGTTGGAATCGTAGGGATCCAATAGAGCAGGAGGTTCCGTCGCAAATCTGGAATTTTTGTGGCCTTAGCCCTACACCTTCACCGACAGTTTTAAATTAATTTATTCATGATTTTTCTTTTTGAACTAAAATTTATATGTGTTATAAGTAATTAAATTTCTATCCCGTATTATATATATATATATAGGTTATAATTTTAAAAATTACTTACACAATATATATTTAATATAAAAGAATTAATTTTGACTTTTATTATATACAAATTTTATATATATTTTATATTGTAATAAAGAAAATATTACATTTATATATTTTAAAACAAAATAATACTAACTTTTAGACAAGGTTTTACCCTTAATTCATTTTCTAGTTTAGGAATAGGTGACGACATTCTTTGCATAACTTTTAAATTTTTATATGTATATTTAAATTGTTATTAAAAAGATATATACGTACATATATATATATATATGTATATTTGTATAACACATATGTATGTATATATGTATATATATATATATATGTTGGACTAATGCTTTCTGACTCGGCCATTGACGAAATATATTCTTCTCTGTATTTATTATTTGCCATTGTCGGTGACTTCGTGGTTCCATGAACCGTGGACCAATTCGATTAATGTGTTTGATAAATTAACATAAGAAAATGGATTTCTTATTTTTCTAATGTAATTGAGTTTGATAATCAAATGCCTTGTGGAAGAAGGGTGATACATATATGTATATATATATATAGATGTGTGTATCTATATATATATATATATATATATATATAGTTTTTCGATTGTTCTGGTTTTTTGACACTACCAGAATAAGAGTACTTGTCACTTACATCTTATGTGAGTTCTATTTTTAAAATTTAAGAAGTATTTTATATTTTAAATATGTATAGTAGAAAATCAATAGAATTATAATATATCGGGTTAAAATTTTTATATTCTATTTGAAGATCACGAGTTCAAATTTTACTAAAAATTTAAAATTTGCCACTCTGATTTCAAGTTTTACTGAAAATTTAGAGTTCATACTTTGAGTTCAAATTTTCTTAAAAATTTAAAATTCGCCACTTTAAATTCAAATTTTATTAAAAATTTAGAATTTGTCATTTTGAGCTCAAATTTTACTAAAAATTTAGAGTTCGTCACTTCGAGTTTAAATTTTTTTGAAAATTTAGAGTTCGCTGCTTTGAATTCAAATTTCACTGAAAATTTAGAGTTCGTCATTGAGAGTTCAAATTTTATTAAAAATTTAGAGTTCGTCACTTCGTACGTGTATTAGATGTTGTCAGTGACCGATTTATAATACTTAATTCAGTAAAATCAAATAATTAACTTACTAATATATTGTAATTAACTTACTAATATATTGATAAATGTACGATGATTAAATTGGATTAAATCTCGACGAATCTATTACATTTTTTAATTAAAAAATATTTTTTTGTAATTAAGTTCTTTTAATTAAGATAATCGTAATGAATTAAAAATATGGATTAGCTTTTTTGACCATAAAAAGAAGTGTATATATATATATATATATATATATATATATATGTAATTAATCAAAACTATAGTCATACAATTGTTTGATCAATTAAGGTACTAGCTAGGATTCTATAATTTCTCCTAAATTAATTACCTTAATGTATACATTTAATAAAGTAGCTAGGGATTAGGAAGCATAATTTATAAAGTGGACCAAAGTTGGACATCAATATTGACCATACGAGCTTTTCATAATTAATTAATTAATTAATTAATTAATTATGATTAAAATATATAATTAATGGGAGTTTGACATTCACGTATAGAATCATTGTGCAAAATGATGGTGGTGAGGAGGATTCCATTAATTAGCTGCTAATTAGAATCTTATCCCACATTTGCTTATGCCTAATTAACTTTATTTAATAATTAATTAATTTTAATTAGTCTTTAATAATAATTAATTTACATATTAAAAACCCATCTTAGCCAAACAGACAATATTGCAGAATATATTAAAGTTGACTTTTAATTGTGTATAGGAATCGTCAATGGAGCCCTTTTAGATAATTATATATCTAATTATTTTAGATTTTTTAAAAGAAAATTATTCAATTCATTATTTTTAAGTATTTATATGTTAAGAACATGCCGTGTATATATATATATATATGTATGTATGTAAGTAATTTCACTTTCTTTTTATCATATAAATGTTGGTGAAAATATTAGGGATGAATGCTAAAATCTTTGAAATTACACTTAAAAAAATTACGTATTTAATTTGAAGGAACTCAGACCTTCAAGGACCAACCTGATCTCTTAGATGGGTTTAGGATCAACTTTCAAGTGACATCGTAAGCCTTTATGATTAATTTAAAGGACCTAAGATATCTTATATATAAATCCATTCTGACCTCATAACTTTTAGAAATTAACCCTCAAAGAGCTCGTAATATTTCAGATGACAAGTCCAAAACCACTATGTAATTGACACTAAATAACCTCAGACACCTTTAAGATTGGCCAAGGTGACCTCACAAATCTTCATGATTAACTCAGGGGACCAACCATATGTTTATCTCTTAACTTTCGGAGACTCACCTTAGTAGACCTTGGATGCCTAAAAGGTTGATCTCAGGGTGTAATAACTCTTAGTTAGAACCTTAGTCTCTTTAAGGATTGATCTCGTAGTGAACTTATAACTCATAGGATTTAATCTAAGCGCTCTTATATATTTGGAGTTTGATAATAGTTTAATCTAATAACTCTTAGAGACGTCTTTATTAAAGTACTTTTTATTAGTAACTCTTTGAGACTAACCCTAAAGAACCTCTAATACCTTAGGACTGACGACATAATTATTTCACAACTCTTGGATACTGATTTTTGGTGATCTTGGATAATTTGGACATTAACCCTAGGGTGATCACATAACTCTTGAAGATTGACTCAGGGAGACTTAAAGTGTCTTAATGACTTATCCAATGTACCTTTATTACTTTTTTAAATTAATTATAATGGACTTTAGACATTTTGAAGAACTAATTCTGATGTCACATCATAACATTATATAATATTAATGTAACTGACCTTATATATCTTGGTAATTAAAGACCTCATAACCTATAATTGTTTCATAACCCCTAATAACTCTAAAAGGACCTCAAACACCTTTAAGTGTAGTGGCTCCAATAACATCTCAAGTGCTAGATCAACTCTAATAAGATATAAAAGCACCATCTCATTGTGCATGTTATATCCAAATCTAACTATAGGTCTCATCTCTCTACTTAGAAATGTCGCTTCAGCTATCAAGGTACTTCATTAACTTATATAGATATGTCATCAAGTCAATACTAGTCTCTTACTAATGACAATTACCATGACCGTAATCACCATGACCCTCCTATTATGATAGGTATTTCAACAGGCATTTTAGTTCTTAGATATAAAGGCTTGAAATGTTAAGCCAAATTTGGAGTATTCCATTCTCGAAAAACTCATTAAGACTTTTTCTACTTCTATTTCACTCTATTCGACATATACTGAATTAAATATTAGAGTACTTTTCGCCCACAAAAAAAAAATGATAATCACTATTTGTTTGCATGTTATGTTAACGGTACAACACTAACTGTAGCCTCCATGTGTCGACCTCTTGAAAATTTTGGATCGTGAAACATATACTAAATCTTTCACGATTTTGATAAAATATCAAATCGGAATTATTAAGCATAAAATCAAATACATTTATCATTTAGGATATAGTTGAAAAAAAGAGTGAGTGGAATAGTATTTATATACCCTTTAATTATAGTATGTATAGTATGCATATATACGTAATAAATATAATAATTTAAAATACATTAATGAATATTTCAGAGATTACTTTATTTAATATTAATGATAAAAAAATAGCATGTTATATTATTAAAATAATAACGAAAAATTCTATAATGATCCAATAGCGGCTAACGTGGAGTCCATAGTGGTCGATGTCAACCTAGCAATGACAATTGTGTTGCATATAATTTTTTATTACTTTAGATTCTAACTTTCATAGATTAATAAGTAATTAATTCAATATATATATATATATATATATACATACATACATATATGATTTACTACATATCCAAATAATTTTCTAATGCAAGAATGTATACATGCCGGGGCAGACACAAGCATAGTAAAATTTATGATATATATATATATATATATATTTATATGTATATAAATTTAGCTCTAGTATCATATTTAATTCTAACATATAACTATAATATAAAAAATTATATATAACGACACATATATAGTGACACAATATATATATATATATATTTGTCACAATTACCGCACTTGAGCATACGTAGCAAAAAGCCACGAATCCACTTTGCCCTAGCTACTTAGCTATAGACTCACATGAAGGACGAATTTAATTATTATATTATATCTATGTATGTGTTTTTACATTATACATATATACATATATATATATATATGTGTGTGTATGTATATTAAATTGTGTGTGATGGAAGACGTGAAATGAAACGAAACAAAAAGGTGGATTTGAAAAAGTAGGAATTGAAAGAGAGTGCTAAGGAGGTCGCTGCCATGACTTTTCCCATTAAACAATTGTCATAAAAAGAGAGACCGAGCGTTATGGAAAAAGCCCTAATTCTTAATTAAAGATGATTGAGCATATGGTTCTTTCCTTCCTTCCTACAACCTTTTTTCTTTTTTTAAATTATTAAATATAATGTTTTTTTTTAAAAAAATTATAAATTTCTATTCCAGTTAGATATTCCCAACACTCACTTCTCTTTCGCCACGTATAATTTCCACTAGTTTTCATCCACTGACTATGAATATCTACTTATTTTTCTTACTCTCTCGCGCTTTTACACCACTGTAAAATGTATGAACGCCGATTCTTCGTGTATATGGTTTATTTGTAGACCCAGTTGTAAAGTGATTTATTCGAGTAAGGAGCTCAGGATAAAAGTATTGGTAATGTCTTATCTTAGGTTGATAGAATCTAGAGTAAGGAAATCATGTATCCATCAGAGAGATTAAGGGTTTTGCTTTGACATGTTTTG